CCCTCTGACGTCAATGGCGGCAACAGCGGCTTCGGCCTCCCCGGGGCGGGCGGAGTCCGGGATGGGCCGGGCCCCGGGCGGGGACTTGGAGGCGGGCGCGGCCCGACGGGAGCGGCAGCCTCTGGGGAGGGGGCCAGGGCTGGGCGAGCCTCGACAGTCCCCGCGCCGCGCCCCGGAATGTGGGCAATATGCAGGGGGACGTCACGCGGGCCGCGCCCCCGAGAGTGCACAACCGAGCCCTGCGCCCCTAGCCACCCCACCATCCTGGGCTGAGCTGGGCTTGGGAAATAAATTCTGCCCCATGACCGAGAGGATGCAGACCAGTGCTTCCCCTTCCCAGTCCAAGGCTGAACTGAAAGCTGGGGTGCTGCCCACTGCACCACTGAGACCGCCTCCCCAATTCAAACTGCTTCCCCAAGGATGGCCAGATTGGGCCATAGGACAGTTTCTTGAAATTGAAATTGATCGCGCCCCCCAATCCCCCAAACACACAGAGAACTATGTATGGTGGGTAGCACACCATTACAACCCCAGCACTCACGGGACTGAGGCAGGAGGATTGCTGTGAGCTTAAGGCCAGTTTGAGCTACATAGTAAATTTCAGGCCCTTCAAAACAGCAAGCCCTGTCTCAAAAAATTTTTTTGTTTTAAGTAGCACTGGGGGTGTATCTCAGTTGCCAGTAGTGTTTGCCTAGCATGCATAAAATCCTAAACTGGATCCACAAAGTGTCATGTGCCTGTAATCCCAGCAATAGGGAGGTGGAGGCAAGAGGATTTTAGTTCAAGGTCATCTTTGGCTGTGAGTTCAAGGCCAACCTGGAGTATATATCTCAAAAAAACAAAACAAAACTTAAATTCCTTTAAAAAGAAAATATCGCCGGGCGGTGGTGGCTCACAACTTTAATCCCTGCACTCGGGAGGCAGAGCCAGGCAGATCTCTGTGAGTTTGAAGCCAGCCTGGGCTACAGAGCAAGATCCAGGACAGGCACCAGAAGTACACAGAGAAACCCTGTCTCAAAAAAAAAGAAAAAAGAAAAAGAAAAAGAAATATCCCCTCCCTCATCTGAGAATAGTCCTTACTGAATTCCTCTCCTCTAGTCTTTGATGCCTCCTGGCCTTTTCTTGGAGTCCTTCATGGGAGACAGCATCCTGAACACAGGCTCCCTCCTAGGATCTCAGGTAACAAAGCTCCCAAAGTGATCTAGCCTCCCTGTATTCCACCCACAACTCAGGCAGCTCCAGAGTCTCACACTGACCCTGGATGGCTCTGGTCCTCAGTCCCCCACCTGCCTAGGAGAGAATCCTATCAAATGAGCCAGTGTGACAGCTTGGAAACAAAACAGGCCCCCTTCTATCATTGCTGGCAATGAGCACCAGGGCTCTTCCATGGGACTTTCTCATCTCCAGCCTCCTATACATCATACCTCTAAACCCTGAAGCAGGGCTGGGGAGATGGCAAAACGGCTTGCTATGCAAGAATAAAGACCTGATGCCTGGTAGTGGTGGCACACGCCTTTAATCCAAGCACTTGGGAGGCAGAGGCAGGCAGATCTCTGTGAGTTCAAGGCCAGCCTGGTCTACAGCATGAGATCCAGGACAGGCATCAAAACTACACAGAGAAACCCTGTCTCGGGAAAAAAAAAAAAAAGAATGAAGACCTGAGTTCAAATCCCCAGAATTCACAAACAGGAACTCAGTAACATGTGTCTGTAATCCTAGCACTCCTAGTGCAAAATGGAAACAGAGTGGAGAAAAACCCCAGAAGTTCAAGGGCCAAGCTAGCCTGGCATTCACTGGCAAAACTGGAGACCCTGTCTCAAACAAGATGGAAAGCAACAACTAATACCCAGGATTGTCCTCTGACCTCTACACCAGTGCTATGGCATGCACATGCCTGCATTCACTCATGAATATGCACACAAATGTTACACATACACACACACACACACGCACACACACACACACACACACACACACACACACCGCAACTCTCTACCTTCTTGTTAAGTGAGGGTCCCATGTGTTCAGCCTATGTTGAACTGTATGGTGAATGCCACAGAAAGTCCTTAGAGTCCTTGAGATGGTACTACTCACACATACCCCTCCTAAGAACAGCCATCGAGGTCTGGGGAGAGGGGAAGACTGGTCTCAGCCTGCCTCCCTCACTAAATAAAACACTTAGCCAGTTGTGGTAGCCAGTTAGTGTATAAGCCCAGCACTTAGGAAGGCTAAGGCTGGAGGACCACAAGTTAGAGGCCAGCCTGAGCTACATGTCTTATTCCATCTGTGCAGGAGATGAACAAAACTGTTCTCTGTGCCCCATGGCAGACACTGTTAGGTTGGAAACTGGAAATGCATTACCTCCCCACAATTTACTGGCATCTCACTTGAGTGCCAAACTTCAACAGGCAATAAAGGAAAAAGCCCTTAGTCCCCACCCCCTGATAGAAATACAGGTGTGGAGGATGGTGGTGGTCAAAATCCCTTCAGCCTGTTTAGGGGTGGGGGTTAGGTTCACACAAACCTTTGTTTAACTCTTGCTCTCTGTGGGCCTAGGCCAGGGGTTGGGTTATTAGTAGCTGTTACTGTCAGTCCTAGGCTCTGCAAGGATGCTCTCAGATAAAGACACAGAGCCCTTGAAAGGCCCATCAAGGCCCCCAGCCAGTCGGGATGGGCTGGAGCCCAGGAGAAGTGCCAAAGCAGACAGCGGGCACGTTGCGCTGGGGATAGGTGAAAGAGAAGGAGGACCTAACCCAGCTGGGTAGGGTGAGCATAACGTGTGTCCCTGATCCAAGAGGGCCTTGCGAATCACATGAAGCCCCCGGAGAGGTGTTCAACAGTTAAGAATGCTTTCTAGAGCCCTGCGGTGGTGGCGCACACCTTTAATCCCAGCACTCGGGAGGCAGAGGCAGGCGGGTCCCTGTGAGTTCAAGGCCAGCCTGGTCTACAAAGTGATTTCCAAGAAAGGTGCCAAAGCTACACAGAGAAACCCTGCCCTAAAGAAGAAAAAGGAGAAAAAGAGGGGGAGAGAGAGAGAGAGAGAGAGAGAGAGAGAGAATGCTTTCTGTTCTTGCATAAGACCTGAGTCCTGAGTTTAGTTCTCTGAACCCACATTAGGCAGCTCAAAACCATCCTTAACTCCGACTTTTGGTGATCCAATGCCCTCTACTGGACTCTGAGATCACCTGCACTTGTGTGCATAACACCAAACACAGACACACACACATCCACATAATTGAAAATAAAATGAATTTTCTTAAAAAAAAAAAAAAAGGAATCAGATAAAGGGACAGATGCTCCAAGGAAGATGAATGGCCCATAAGAAGGCAAAGAGGCAGACGGCTGTTTGGCCCATTCAGAAAACTATAGCCATTTGTCTGGATGCAGAGTGGGTCAAGGCAGAGGCCTGAGAGGTGAGTGGCCAGTGTCCTGAAATCCAAGTCCAGGAACCGTAGTGGCTGAGAGTGACCTCCTGAACTAGGCACAGAGTGACTTGTATGTGGCATTTTCAAAAGGTCAGTAGCTACAGCATGGTGTGGCTGAAGGCAGCAGCCACATCGCCTGGCTGTGAGAAGGCCAGGAAGAGGCTGTCCAGGGCACTCAGACAGAAGGCAAGGTGGTCCAATTATCCCACTGGGTGGGGTAATCTGCTTGGCAGGGCTGTTCTCTGTGTCTGGGACATCTGTACACTTCCACTACTCCTCCGGGGTCCCGGGCTCCAGCAGAAAGGTGACTAAGCTGGATTTAGTATGGCCATACTCAGTGCGGTCACTGGGTTGATGCCTTAAACATTAAGCAGAAAAGTCATG